TAATTAATATTGCTGGCATAGGATTAAACTAAATATTAATTTCTAATGGCACAAGATAAAAAAATAAACCTTCATTTGTACTAGCAAATTTATTTTTAAGATACAAATATGTGTGTGTGTGACATAAATGAGAATTAATAAATTATAGATTGACAAATTATTTTCTAAAATTTCAAAATATACTTTAGTAGTGAAAAAGATTGTTATCGGAAGGAAAACGATTGTTGAATCAAATTTTCTATAGAAAAAGATTCAACCCATGTTCGCTTTAGCTAAAAAATTAATTCAAAATCAATAATTAATTTTAATTACATATTTTATGGGGCATGCAATTTTTATTAACTTTTTAACCCCATAATTTATCATTTTTTAATCAAAATCTATTAAAAGGAAATTTTGAAAACATTAAAAGTAATTTATAATTTATTTTTCAAAGTCAAATATTTATTTTAACCATATAATTCGTAGGATCCGTAACTATTATCCACTTAACCAATACTCATTTATATCGCATTATAATTTTAGTAATTTAACCCATGTTTGAAATCCATTTTTTGGGAATAGATTTTATAAAAATTAGTTATTTTAGAATGTGTGGTTAGAAAGTATGAAAATTTTAGATTTATGTAAACAGTTATTTTATTAGGAAAATATGTGGTTGAAAATGAATTTTAAAAAAAAAAATTAAAGAATGAGCTAGCACTCAAGAATTTTTACCAAACATGGGCTTAAGTTATCATAGTGAATGATACGGAACAATTAAAAGAGAATCATATATCAATTGAAAAAGAAGAAAAATAAGGAATAGTAAAACAAAAGTAACTTTTAACTAGGTGTCAATTTCCGCGAGTAAGTACAATTCGGAAGTATTTTTCAATTTTCTAATAATCGTGAATTGGAAGAGAGAAGTACAAGTCAAAAAAGGCAACTTTGTTTGAGATACTTTTTGTTTTTGGCGAGGCCACCTCCTTCAAAGTTGACATGACAACTTGTTAAAATTTTAATCTACACTACACTACTAGACTTGCCATCAAAACTACTCGATGTAGGTCTTAAGAAAGCAATAAAAAATTGTATACTGAAAAGTAAAACTTGCTTATGAGCCACTTCTTTATCGTATGTTTGTTTTATTACTAGAGGTAGTAGTCATTCGAGCTAGCGCCTCACATCCATCGTGCTTATATTGGCTTTAAGATCTAAGGTGTGTACTCGAGGTCATGAATTGTTTGTTGAAATTTGATTTCGCTTTTTATTTATTAAAATTAGTTGGAATGTAGCTTAATAATATCCAGAGGTCCAATTGATTACTACGATTGTAATTGAATGATTGTGTTTGACATATCTCGTGAGTTTAGGTCAATGCGATTTCCCTTCTACAAAAGTTTACCACTTTGTCTAGCATTTGAACCTAATTACAAAATGTGTGGGGTAAGCATTTGTTTGGATAAATTGTTATATCATGAAATTGCACATCTTCTTGTTTATATACTAGTGAATGCACGTGCGTTGCACGTGTAGTGGGTGATGCACTGTAACTAATAATGTTGGAATTTGATTATGTGGTATTTCAATGAACAATTAAACCTATTTGAAGGAATGATGATTNAAATTTAGAAGATTTACTGAAGGATTGTTATTAAGCTACGATACAAACTTTGAGTCTATCTTAGGTTTGCGGGGGTAGTACTGGTTTTGTAAATTGCTTTCTAAATTTTAGTTTGGTTCTACCTAGGACTATTGGGATGGAGATTTTGTCTAAAATTATATCTTTAATAGAAGTTAGAAAAGAAGAATGATGAATTCGAGATTATAACTTGATTCACGATAGAATCGGAATTGATTGCTCTATTAGAGCAAGAGAAGAAACAAAGTGATTTAAACATTTCTATATAGTAAGAGCACGTCGACTATTACCTTGTTTGAGCACCCCCCCCCCCCC